AATTGATACTCACAGAATGGATGTCTCATAAGGATCAGAGCCGAGCAAGCTTTCTTTCCCCAGGTTTGTTATTGAATATATGTGTGTAAAGGCCACATAACGGAGACATGTGGGTGATAATGAGAGGAATTTCGTTTCAAGGTCCTCCCAGAGTGGATTCACAGTGAGAGAAAACAGGTGTGGAACGACTGTGTGGTACTTTATATGTTGAAGTAATAGTACTACAAGAAAGTAAATGTAATTATTAACTGTCCTTTTCATTTCAGTCTGTTTCTCAATGTGCATTGGTTTAACTTCTTTTTTATTACATAAAAACTAACTAGTAACTTTGAGTAGTATTTTTCAAACATACTTCATACAAATTTGGTGTATTTTGCACTGTGTAACCTTTTTGCTTGTTTCTATGGATCCATCATTGCTCTGCCGGGAATGTTCCACAGTATGAGATTAAACAGCTCTAGCTTACATTTATTCAATTACAGGTGGTTTTATAGCTTAAAAATATCAATATAAGAGTGTGAGCGGCGTCGCCTCTCCATAGATCTGAGCTCTTCTTCTTTCTTCTGTAACACTTCTGGTTTGGTCTCCATGATCATAGAAAGGTTCAACACCATACTGTGAAACATTCCAGACCTCTACCAGAAAAGTTACACAATGCACTGTTAAAGGGACAGTCTGGAATTTTAGAGATAGGACCTCATTTCCTAGGCTCCATCCACACTAGTATGTTTTCGAGTCGTTGCGGATGCAGTGTTCATCCACTCTAATCCAGTGGAAAAGGGCTCCAGAGATAAAACGATCTGGTCAGCTCCTACAAATTCATCTGAGTACGGATCTGATCCGGCACTGTGTGGATGCATGAAAACACTGATACCCTGACATAGGTGTATGCGCCGTGAAGTAATTCACCACTAAAACACTAAGAGGCTAGAATATATGTCCATTCATATATATTATACGTATGACCTGCAGATGTATAATCTCGGAAAAGTTTAATATGAATCATCTCCAATGCAATAGAAGCACAGAACAGACTCACCATTAGCAGAACACCCCTCTGTCACAGAAAGAACATATATATTCCATCAGCTTACAATAGCAAGCTGTTTTTTTAGCACTCAGTTTACGTAAATTAGCCATGCAGTTTTAAGTTTCGTTTCTGTAAAATGTAAACAAATATACTCAAAGCTGTGTGAACAGGAAAGGCTTGCGGACACAGAAATGACGTGTCTGGACACAAATCATTTCTGATGCAGTGATATGGTGATTCATTTCACTGTAAACGTAGCCCTAGTGAGCCAGAGTGTTGGAGACTTGTGGAGACACTTTTTTTTTTAGTATTCCATCCAGTCCTTGTATTTGCAGAAGTCACTGGTTCTAGGCTAGCGCATGTCAATGGCCATAGTGAGCTTACCCACTTACCCACTCCACAGTGCATCCGAGGCAAAACAATAATAACGCCAGACTTTTGATGTGAATGTCTGTGTCAATAGAATCATTTTAAAATCAACCTTGCATTTGAAGGATTTTGTCTGAGCAGCAGCAGCAAGTTGTATCTCCTGATAGAAAGCTTGGTAGCGACAGACTGATATCACCTAGCACCTACCTTTCCGGCAAAGTAAAATTCTGCTGCTGCTGAGAAAATAGTCCCATGTGATGCAAGGTTAGTTTTATTTCAAACATTATTCTATCAACACAGACACTTACATCAATAGTCTGAAGTAATAATAGATTTGCTTTAGGTGCTTTGTGGAGTGGGTAAGACAGGCTAACTATGGCCATTGACATGCACTAGCCTAGCACCAGCGACCTCTGCAAATACAAGGCCTGGATGGAATATTTTAAAACGTGTCTCCACACATCTCCAACACTCTGGCTAAGTAGAAAATGAGGTCCTATGTCCAAATTTCTGGACTGTCCCTTTAAGTACAAATTTGGCAGCAACACTTGAGTACCTGAGAACATTTCTAGCCTTTTACTAATGCTTGTCTACACATTTTTTAAAACTATTTCCACCACTGCCTAATAATATACATTAAAATAATATTACCCAAGCAAGCTATGGATGCAAAACCTTAACATGTTGTGTACAGTAAAATGGATTTGATTGTGATTTGCAATATTTCCCAAGCACACTAAATAACTATGGCTACCAATAATACCACAACACTGACTTGAACCAGCGATCATATCTGGATGAAAGACAGTATCTTTTAAAATAGGCAGTGTTTTGATTCATTATTTTCATTTACTGTTGTCTCAATAGAGGCTACACAGACACCACACATCTTAGTGCTTGAGTGGGCCTCTGAGCTATTGTTGTCTGCATTTCGAAGCAAGTGGTTGTGGGAAAAAGCAAAGACAGCGTGTATTCTTGTTCCAATTCTGTATAAATTATTGATTGCGACCCATTAGATGTCTAAAAACAACAAAGCAATACAAAGACACTGTTTGATGGCATTGCTTGTTCTTGTTTGCTCATATCCTTTCCCTTTTTGAGATAACATTACCATTAATGAAACTGGGGAATCAGGTTGCAGTAAAAGTAAAAGTAAAAGTTTTATATACCCTTCAGTCTATACATTTTATAGAAGGTCTGTCTATAAATAGTTCAACCTGTAAAAAAAAAAAAAAACTGACAGTGAATATATATAAAAAACTCACTTCTTCTCTCCTGTAACTCCCACGTTTCTGAAATAATACATAGGCCATAACCTCAGCACTCCCGGATGTGTGAAATAAATATCTCAGCTCAAAAGTTTATGCTTGATCTACCTGATTTGTGTCACAGTGAGACCCAGCGCACATTTTCTTGCAGAGAAATCACTGGAGCGGCTAATTGCCTGAATGTTAAGGCTCCATTTCACTAATTTAATATAAAAAGTCCAAAATGATACCTAATGATTATGTTATGCCAGCATAAAAAAAAAGAAGATGAAAGATTGAAAATATGTGATGAGTGATAATCGCTGTAGAATAAGACACGATTAGGTCAAAGATCTATGCTGCATTTTAAAGCATAGGCTATTTTGTAGTATTGTTATAATAAACAATAGAGAAGTAATGATATGTAAATCACATGATATGATACAATTACGATATTCATTTCACAATACAATATTTGTCTCGATTTCATGGAAATGCTAAAAATGCTATTGAAAAATGCTACTTTTTCCATTTAAAGAGCCTTGACAAGCCTTTATATTAGTTTGACACTTCAAAGAATTAACATAGAAAAGTTCTCCATAACAGTTATTTCTTCATGTTTTCTGCAATGAAATGGAACACAATTTCTCAGTCTATGTAGTTTCTTCCATTTTTTAGCTGTTGCTGCAATAAAACAAAGCATTTAAACAAAGAAGCTTATAATTAGATATATATTGTGACAGCCCACAATATTCTTGTGAGACTTTGACGATACAATATCACAATATTTCGGTTATTGTTACATCCCTAATAAACAATGGCCCTAAATTGGAAAGAAGAACCCAGGCAAGTCAGAGTACTGACTGACAGAAATGGACTGTAAAACCCCCTGCTTCCAAAATTACCTGCAAAAAACTCAGGAACCTTAATTAATACATAGGTCTTGGCAAAAGTATACAACACTAAACAATGCTAGGTTAAAAAGTAACCCAACCTGTGTAAAATAATAACCCTGCTAGGTCACTATTAGACCAACACAACTCTGGGTTATTTTGGCCAAACAGTTTGGGTTATCAGTTTAACCCCACTTTTTTTTTTCTCTACTCAATTCTAAGTTGTATTTTATCACTCTTCTGGGTTAATTCTACCCAATACATGAGGTAAATACTTATAATGACCACCACAGTGCTATTTAAGAAACATATATTTAAAAAAAAAGATTTTTAAATAAATAATTTCATTCAAAACATGGCACACCATGAACAACAGAACATTACGAATTCAGCAGTAAAATGTTCATTTAAATTGTCCATATTGTAGTTTGTACATTTACAACTTGTAGTGACAGATGTTTGAGCGCTGAGTTGGTTTATTTCAGATTCTGGAGCTTCAGTCTGAAAAAAATTCCACTGTGAGAACAGAGGGAGAAATAGTCATGTTTGCAGGTCAGATCTATCTGGATACACAGTCTTCTAAAATATAATATTATTAAACATAACACTTCCATTTGTGAGTGTGGGTCCAGAGCTCAGGACTGGACCCTGCGGTCTGCTCCACTGTGACAGGGAAGAACAGAGAGAGGTCAAAGGAAGCTTTAGAAATATAGAAACCCAAATTAAGTGTATTCTTATTTTTAAGACACACTCAGATCCATAATAAAAACATACTGTTAATTTATTTAAGCAGGTAGTTATTTACTTTGCTAACAGTTACCAGCTGTTAAAAACTGGCTAGCAAGTTGTGTCATGTAGATGTTTGGCAGAAGTTAAATGTTTATTTAGTAACACTGACTAATATTAACCACATTTAACAACTGCGGCAGAAGTGCTGGTGCTCTTTTAAAGTGCTGTTACTTCATGTTAGTCATTGTTTACTTAAAAGTGCACCATGTAACCTTTCTGGAAGAGGGTCCATCACCTGCTTGTCTCCATGGAGATGTTATTACTTTGGCTGAAATGTTCCACAGCATGGCATTTAATGTATCTCTCTGTATCTTTATAGAGATAAGCAGGTGATACCATTTGCCAAAGTTACAGGTCATGTCTGTGGAAACTTGAGCCCACTCTAGAAATAATGTTTTTTTTTTCTTTGCAATAAAAATATGTGTAATTCAATGAATGCAAACTAGAAAGGTTTTATGCCATAACGTGAAACATTCCAAACATTCTCCTTTCCCACATTAATTTGATCTGATATCTGTACTCTATTAAATGTATACAAAAGCAATGAGATCATTAAAAGTGGTTGCCGCTGTTCCCTTTGTGTCCTCTAGAGGTCCCCATAGGTTTTACCGCTGCCTCTCAGTCTGTTCGGGGGTTCTCCGTTGCACTCGTTTACTGTTTACATTACTGAAGCATGCTGAAGCCGGAAGTCCAGTGATGCTTTAAGTTTTGTTAATTATTACCATTATGCTTTAAAATGCAGCATTGACACTCGTGTAGTTTACAATCGGATAACTGCGCGAGTACCGAGGTCCCCATTCTATGCTTATTTTTTTGGGCTTGAAGCGTTTTAGCATCTTGTAGGCTAAAATCAATGGGCGATGCTGCTGTGTTTTTGAGTGGAGCAAGCTGACAGACAGCAGCCCGAGCACGTTGGGCGGATGGTTGATTTTCATGCTCTTTGGGAATACAAATCCAGCTCTCCGCACTGTTGCTAAATCGTGCAGACCCGGTGAATGTTTAAACCATAAGGCCATAGACTGTGTACGTAAACTACAGTTTAACCACGTGTATCCTGTTGTTGGAATGTGGGTTTTTAAGTGAACAGTTAGATCACGTCTGCAGACTGTAGGCTAAGCAAGAATATGCATAGAACTTGTATAGGCCTATAAATCAATGTGATCCGCAGATCATTTATTAATATATTTTACCGAAGCGTCAAGAGGTAAGAAATGGCAAATTCTAAACACAGTTAAGGATGTGCTAGTAACATGTAATAATGATCAGTGAATTTGAGTTAATCAGGGGCATTAGACCATTTATTCTATAGTCAGAGTACAATAAGTAATATGAAACATTTGCAAAAAGTAGCACATACTTTCCCTAATTGACAAATTAAGTATCCTAATCCATACCTTCAGTTGTTGATTAACGTGTACAAATCTTTCATGACTATTAATTAAAAAAAGAAAAGAAACACCTGGCATTCAGTGTTCATGTATTTTTTACATAATGCATTTTATGACATTATATGTCATAATAAGTTTACTTAAATATGCTATACATAACCTATTGCATAGAATTTGTATGGAGTTGAGTGCAGGACACTAATCTAACAAACTCTAGATCCTACATATCATATTTAATTAAAAAAATATATATTTATATGTATAATCAATTAATAAATAGATATTTGTTACCCATATCAAGTCCTTTTTGACTGTGTGTTACTGGATCACTATTTAACACCTTTAAACACCTCTTTTAATATATAGCCAAATTGTCTAACAATCATTGTAAAAGACCTTGGTGTTGTAGTTGTAATTGCCTATTCCAGATCCAGAAAGTTAAATGATTATTGTATTTTTGTATTGCATATTGTCTACTTTTCTGAACAGCCTTTTCAAAGTGGACTCAAAATCATGGTAGAAACAGCGTGTCTCCTGTTTTCCAGGTGCGATTGCTGATTGAAAGCAGGCTCCCGTAGATCTGGGCCATGGATGAAGAGTTGACGCCTTTGGACTGCTTGCTCCCCTCAGGTACTGTCTGTCAAACAACCCTTGTGCAAACAGAAACCAACACCAAAACACACACATTTAAACACACCATGTCTTGAAATTCTCAAGTAAAAAAAATAAATAAAAAATCTGAAAACACCAGCTACAGTACATCCCGCGAGACTAAGAGAAAACTGGGAAACAGACATAGAAGATGCACATTCGCTTCTATCAAAACATATTCGTAGCCGCATCACTGTCACACTTGTCTGCTCTTTTGCTTTCTCCCACTCACTCTGACACACATAAATTGTCTTTGGGGAAATAAAACTCCAAAACAAATCACAAGCACTTTCAGAACAGCACTTCATTCACTGCTTTATGTGTTGTCTCTTTGGGCTCTTTACATAAGCATGTGCATTCTTCTAAATATATTGTATTACATAACATCTCTAACATAACAATGACTAAAAAATATGTAGGCAAGACAAAACTATAAACATTTTCACCACACATATATCTGTCTCTATTTGGATTTGCGGGGATGGCGGGGGGGGTTCTGACTTTGTGCTACATAAAAATGATTGCTTAAAGAGCCCACACTATTTTCTAATCTATGTTATGATTTTGTTTCCTCAAAAACATACCTCTAGGACTAAAGTATTTGTGTTTTCTTAGATTTTACTTAAAAAATAATGTATATAGAAACAAAATAATAATAATAATAATAATAATAGTTATTAGTAGTATTATTTAAAACAAAATGCATGTGGCAGAACAATAAGTTCATAGAATCCTTTTTTTTTTACAACCCTTAATTATAGTTCTAGTTGTTGTATAGACCTCTGAAATACATGAAACATTGAAGTATAATTTGAAGAAAGGGAACTAGTTCTTGCAGGTTTTGTCAGTTCTTTCTCATTGGTCAAGGTTCACGTCTGCTGTAAAAAGAATAGAACAGAACAGTCTGACCTGTGGGGTATCAGTTACTAATTTCAGAGTATGACAAACAATGTGTAACAGCTGCAGGACTGTTGAATGCTAATTTTTTTTTACTGTATTTACTGAATGGCTTAAATTATTCCTTTAGACTACTTTAAACTTAAAATAATGGTGTTTACTTATTACTTTTTATTACAGTTATTTAAGGTAGACTTTTGTGTTGTGTTGTCCACCCATACTTTTGACTTGAAATGTTTGTCTTTAAAATCTTGTTATGCTGATTTATTACAAGTGCTTTTCTTGCCTTAATTAGACATTTAATTTGCTTTAATCAAACAATCTGACAACAAAAAAGTAAATGTTGTGTTTGCTTTTACCGTTCAACAACTTGTATAACTTGTATATTTTTCTTCATTGTACTTTGCACACAGGTTTAGTGCTTGTACAAATGAAAAAGGGAAAAACTGTAATTGCACCTTGAGTATTTGCTTGGCATTTGTGAACATGTCTAGAGGAACATGGGGTGCTGTGATTTCCAGAGCTTGTACAATGCACAAATCAATACAGCACAAAGGCCAGCATCAGTTGGAGACACTCATTTGTGATTGGAGGCTGACAGCAGCACTTCTCAAGTAGTCTGTGTGAGTAAGCAAGGCAGGTCTGTCTTTAGACTTAGACTTAGACAGACTTTATTGTCCACAAGGTAAATTACACAGTAGCTCACACATCACATTATATTACAATAACACACAGTAAACAATATTAAAACAATTGTAATAAACTTCCAAATAAGTAGCAATAAGAGGTTGATATCAATAAGACATAAATTATATAAATGTATGTACAGTAAGTAAAAAACAAATATTTTAATATAACCGTATATCACAGTTATATACAAGAGGTCATAAGGAAACAGTGCAAAGGTGATATGATGATTGACAGAAACACAGGGTTATCTGTTATATAAGGATGAGTTGTTGTACATCTGTATGGAGTATGGTATGAATGTATTCCTATATCTCTCACAACAGGCTCCTACAGTGGAGCTGTCCCTCTATAGTCTGGTGCAGTGGGTCAGTAGGAGTGGCCATGATGGAGAGCAGTTTGTCCAGTGTCCTCCTGTTCCTCACTGTGACAAATGTCTCCAGCTCACAGCCAGTCACATGACCAACTTTACGGATCAGTTTGTCAATCCACCCAATATCCCTTTTACTGATGCTGCTCCCTGAACAGACCATAGCGACATCCAGACCGCTGGCCACCACAGACTGTTAGAAGAGCTCCAGTAACTTGCTGCACACATTGAAAGACCTGAGCTTTCTCAGGAAGTAGAGTCTACTCATGCTCTTCTTGTACACAGCATTAGAGTTGTCCCTCCAATCCAGTCTGTTTACATGGACTCCATGGACAAGGCACTTGTAGCATTCCCCTATTTTTACGTCATGGCCCTGGATGATGACAGGCTCCATTGGTGTCCTCTTTCTCCTGAAGTTAATCACCAGTTCCTTGGTCTTGTCAATGTTTAGGAGCAGATGGTTTGCCTGGGACCACTCCAAAAAATTTGCAATCATTGTCCTGTACTCAAGCTCCTGTCCATCTCCGATACACCCCACCGCTGCAGTCATCAGAGATCTTCTGCAGGTGGCAGGACCCAGATCTGTACTGGAAATCAGAAGTGTACAGAGTGAACAGAAATGGAGACAGGACTGTACCCTAGGGAACTCCTACATTACTGACAAGTATCAGAAAAGGTGCTTCTCAGTCGCACATACTGAGGCCTGTCTGACAGGTAATCAGTAATCCAGGAGACACTGGAAGAGTTGACATCCATCCTGAGCAACTTCTCACTCAACATAAAGGGCTGGATTGTGTTAAAGGTACTGGAGAAATTGAAAAACAATATCCTCACAGAGCTTTTAACACCATCCAGGTGTGAGTGTGCCCGGTGAAGGAGACAGATTACAGCATCTTCCATGCCTAAATAGCACTGATAGGAAACTGTTGACAATCCAAGGATGGTGCTACCAAGAGTTTTAGCTGAGCCAGAACAAGTCTCTCAAACACTTTCATGACATGAAATATCAAAGCAACTGGTCTGAAGTCATTAAGTCCAAATGGAATAGGCTACTTGGACACTGACACAATGCAGGAGGTCTTCCATAGCACTGGTATCCTTTCAAGCTTCAGATTCAGGGTGAAGAGAAAGTGCATAATCCCAGTGAGCTTTGCTGCACATGTCTCAGCACAGGGAGGTTGACTTGTTCTGGTCGAGGAGACTTGCATTGATGAACTTTCTCCAGCTGTCTTCTCACCTGCGCAGGTGATAAAGACACTGGACTGGGTTCCTCCATGGGGATGGGGCTAGGTGTGGGAGCAGAAGTGATGGGCTGATGAATGGCTGTCTGAGTTGTCTGTGATGAGGTGTGGATTGGGTGCCTGGGAGGTAAAGAGACGGGGGTGCCAGATGAAAAATTATTAAAATGAAAATTTAGTAGATTTGACCTGTCTGGGCTATTGTCCTGTTGCTTTGTTTTGGTGTTGACACCTGTAATGACTTTCATCCCCTTCCACACATCCGTTGGTGTTGTTTTGCTGGAGTTTTGCCTCCAGCCTCTTCCCATACACTTCTTGACTCTGCCTGAGCTGGACTTTCAGCTGTAGCTGTACCCTCTTCACCTCGTCCTTGTCACCAGAGTTGAAAGCCCCCTTCACCTTATTGAGTAGATCCTTCAGCTGGCTGGTGACCTAGGGCTTGTTGTTGGGGTAGCAGCGTGTGCATGTGGGGACGACTGTATCCTCACAGAAGTTGATGTAATCTGTTATACAGTCAGTCATGCTGTCGATGTTGTCCCAATGGGGCTGGCAGAGCACATTATAGTCTGTGGTCTCAAAGCACAAAAGAAGAATAAATTCAAAGGATATAATATTATTTTAATATATGTATGTATACAAAATGTATCATATTTCTATATTTTAATTTTGCTTCTACATATACACTGTATATACATATTGTGATTTGTGAGCTACTGTGTCCAAATTGATTCCTGTTAATCAATAAAATTTATGTAAAACAGCTTTCTTGCAAATATATTTGGACACATGCACAATCTGAGAAACAAAATCTGTTAACGGTGTAGGTTTTCTGGAAGAGGGTATGCCAATAACATGTCCATGGGCACGAACAGGTGTCACCACTAGGCCAAGTTGCAGGTCACATCTGTGGAGAGCCAAATCTGCACATAATAACAATACATGGTTATTGAGCAATAAAAGCACAATAAATGAATGCTAGATACATATACTTAAGGTTGTATTATGAAATAAGCAATAGAGCCAAGCAAGTGGCGTTATACAGTGAACCTTTAATAAAAGAGTTGTCTTTTGTATAACATTCTGACCAACTCCTTTGTATAAATATCTGCTTATTATTTACTATCGCCTCGACTGGCCCACCCAAAAAAACCTTCACCTTGAATCACATGTTTCTTACAACAAATCAATTTCAAACCTTGACAAGATTTTCTCAAATTATTTCTACTCAGTTTTTTACAACAATTTTCAGGAACATTCTTAGTTCCTAATGCAACAGGTGGTGTGACGAAGAGATGATCTGTGCTATCCACCACCTCGTGCATTTTAACAGCAAAGTCTAAACTCCAGTATTGAGACGTGCCCTCTCTAATTTCAGATGTTGTTTATATGTCTCCTTTAATGTGAATCGTCTGCAGAAAATGCTTATCTAGACTCTAGACACAGCGTGTAAAAACAGCCCCTGGATGTCTGCATGTTTAGATCCCCAGTGTGCACAGTTGGCATTTTAAATTCTAACATCTTAATTATAAATGCCTTTTCCAGGAATGTGCACAGGCTGGTGACAAATGAGAGGAAAAATCAACACAAGGAGTCTACAGTTCAACTATTGACTTAAGTCCATGCAAACCAGTAAATTACCGTGAAGTTATAGAAGTCTAATATCTAACAAGTTAAAAATATGCCATTCAATATAGTTCACTGTATACAATCTTCAGTTAATTTGTCAATACAGAACATTAGAATATTAGGACATACACATAGGTCAATGCAATCAAAAAACCACATCG